CGGAAGGCGCGTGGTCGCGGGGCCCAGGGTGCCGCTTCCATCCCCGTGGGGCGGTGCTGGTATCTGCCTCTTCTGGCTATGGAAAAGCACAGGCGGACTCCCCCCTTCCCTCCCCGCGCCCCCAGAAATAGTGCCGCTTCCAAGCAAAGGGAGATGCCGGGAACCCCTCGTGCCGAGGTTTCCTTGGGACAGGGGTGTCAAAACTGCACAAAGACACAAGGGCTCTGCTGGTTCCAGGCTTTGCAGCACCAGAAGGTGACGCAAATCTGAATGTTTGGGCCCGCTAAAAGTAAGAAGTGTGGCTTCCCTGTCACTCTCTGCAATGGGGCAAGTTAGTAAAGCTGAACAGAATCAGAAGTTTCAAAACTTTATTTATACTATTTACTATAGTATCATTTTTATTAGATATACTATTACTAGATTTATATACACAAAATAATTTGCTATTTTTTAAGTGTTTATTTTTTTAATCCCTGCGCTTAACTATCCTTCCCTGCTGAGCTGCCTTTAATTACCTTCCACTTCTCTGACTCTGTGTTTTCTTTTAATATGCAAACAGTGCTATAGCATCTTCTCATAAGGCAGTAGGCCACATTGGTTTTGTTTTGTTTTGTTTTGTCACTAAATAGGTGCATTTAAATACAGGACTTTGAGCTTCTTTCCACTTTTACACTTTTTTTTTTTTTGTGAGTGTCTTACACAAAATATTCTTGAATAGATTTTAAATTAGGTTAGTGCTTTCCACCTCATTCCTGTTAGCAGAACAAGAGTGCTGTCTGCCCCATAGTTCCTTTCTGGTTGTTTTTAGAAAGGATAATTGATAAACAATTAGATCAAACAGAACCTTTTTTTTTCTTTTTCTTTTTTTTTTTCTCCAGGAGTTAGGAATCTTCGGTCCCGTGAAATGGGGCCTAGAAATCAAAATCTTGGCCTTAGTCTATCTATGCTAGCAAAGAATTTCTGATCCACATGTCTGCAGTGCTGACTGCAGGTAGCTTACAATATGCAAACAGTATTCTGACAGAGGTGCTGATAATGCAACAGAAGATGAAAAATCCACTATTTCCATCTAGTGGTGAGAGAGTGTTTCTGGATCTGAAGTATATGAGATCTAGCAATCTACCTGTGCAGAAGGTAGCTGCATTTCTGGATTCTAGAAACCTTTTGCTTAATTCAATTTCTTTGCAATTTTTCAAGTCTAGGCATCTAAATTCATATAAGATTATATAAGATTATCCTTTTTTTAAGAAAAGAGTATCTTTTTCCTTTTTTTCCCCATAAATAGTTAACATCTCTTTCATTATTTACAAAAATATAATGTTCCGAATATTAGTGCTGAGATGAAGTGGTCTGTCAATGCCACATCTTGAAAATTCATTGAAATAGAATATAGTGCTGAAATCTGTGGTATCCACACATCAAAAAAAGTCTGAATGTGACCAGAGATGTGTCTTTCTGGGTAAGATACATGTAGTCTGTGCTACAAAGTAATATTTATTTTTATACGATGATGCTATAGTATATATTAGTCTAACATTTCAAAGATGAGGGAGTTCATTTCCCTACTCTGGCAGCAAAAATAAAAAAGATTAGATATCCAAAGATACTTAACCCACTGGGGGTTAAGTTTACCCCCTGTAAATCCAATTCCTGCTTGATAGGAGGTTGACATCGCAAGGTCAGGGGTTTCCAAGTGTTGTGTGTGTAGTCTCCTCTCCTGCCTAGATGTACCCAAAAGAAGTAGCAAATAGATACTAGCAAATACTTCAATACATTGAATTTTCTTATTATGTATTACTGTTTCAGTGCAGACAGATGTTCTCTGAGAGAAGTTTCGTTTCTCTCGAGGTTGGGCCATGCATTCATTGTCCAAGAGAAGCAGAACTGAATTTACATTGAGAGCTGTACATCTTCCTTTGAAAACTGGTTGCACGGACAACACGTAGCCACAGTGAGAAGCAACCACCACTCAGGCCGGCCGGAGAGGATGCTTTCCCAAGGCGGTCCTGCCCTTGGGTCTTGTAGGAGGGAGGATATTGCACTGCTTTAACATCAGTGCCAAAGAAGAGGGACAAGGGAAAGGAGAGCAAAGAGACCGTCACCCCACTGCTTTGGGCAAGTGCGCGTGGTGTAGCTATGCTGCATCCGATGGGAGAGCCAGGAAGCTGTGGCTTGAGGTTTCTCCTCACGTAGCCATAGCATTAGCCAAGCCAAGCCAAATTTTGCCTTTCAGAGTCGCAATACCTGTTGCTTGGGCAGGGCAGAGCACCACCGCCTCTTCTGCAACACATTGCTGATCAGGTTGCATTGGAGGTGCAACTCTTCCCCTAGACCTTTACTCATTAAAGTGCCGTTTTCTGATAGTATCGGGTCTTGTCTATTGTGTAATAGGGAAGATCTCGCCCTCCTTCTAGCATATGTGTACTGCACTGCACATTCTCTAAGTGCTAGGCTTAGATGAGGCTCCCTCTTAAGAAAGCTCTGAGAAATTGCCAAGAATATTGAACGTCACAGCCCAAATTTTACTCTTCAGCCTACACCTAGTTGAAAAAAAAAATCCTATGAATAATATGAATAATAGTTACTCGCCCTCAAGGTATGGATGAGAGAAATTGCACAGGTAGCATTGCTTTGTTTCTCTTTCCTTATTGTACAAGAGCAGTTTTCCCTTCCCAGACATGTCATCATTGGGCAGACATGATGAAACATGTGTTGTGGTTGCATATGGCTGCGTAGCTGGCCCAGGTGAACTCAGGAACTCATTTCTTGGGCAACATTATACCAAGGATTACGAAGCAATACATGAAAGTACACGTTTCATTTGTATGTCAATACACTCAAGATCTTCTTACCTATGGGTATTTTGTTTACCTCTGAGTTAAAAGTGATGGGCATGTCCTGGGTTTCATCAACAGGTTTTATACAATAAGTCTCATTTTTTTTCCAGTCAAAACGAATCTGTTTTACTCCTCGGCATGGGTTTAATGTTCAATGTTGGGATCTAAGGAGACTTTGTGATGGATCTGGACCTTGTTGCTCAGGCTGTCAGACAGGCTGGCTCCCAGTCGTACGTGTACAGTGTCTGGCCCGTTGGAGCCCTGACCAGAGCTGATGCCACAAAATATTACTATAATGCAATTATCACACTGCCAGCCTCAGCATACGCTCTGTACGCGCTCGCCAGCATGTTCACAACGCGTTCAAAGGGAAACGCTTACGCTGGGGCAAAACCTCCCGCTGCAACACCCTGACAGCTCGCTGGTTGTACCCTGCCCAAAATGACCGGGAGGAAGCCCAAAAGCTGCAGTGAGGAGCGCCAGGCTTCACCATTCAGAGGAAAATGACCTGAATTCCATTCCGTGCCAGCACAGTAACATCAGATATAGGAGATTGCATCTAATTCTGGAAGCTTTTAGAAATCCTCTTTATTTAGTAGCAGCTCCTACCTTGAAGAGTAATCACCCACACATCAGTATGAAATATTTTTATTTATCTTCAGAATTTGATAATCGCATAGTCATAAATATGTTAAAGAAGAGATTAGGATGGTTACAAATTGTACATAGCTGTAGTTTGATCACTAAAAAGGCCTTTAGTCTGCATAAAGGCAAAACTCCTAGGGAAGATTTTCAGAAAGATAGTAACATGAAATGGCTTTTTAGAAAACTTAAGAGTATACAAAAGCTAATCCAAAGCTCTATAAATAAAACCAAATAAAAACAACTTCTTTGTATTTTCTGTGTGGTCTCAAGAAATAAGGACATAAGGACAAGGACTTTTAGTCTAATGAATGGCAGACTGATTTAGAGTAAGTAATGATAAAAGAAATATTTTTGAAAACCACGAGTAGGTAGCTTATGAAATCTAGAATCACAGACTACAGACTAGTCGGCTGGATTTTGGATGTGTATAAAGTATTTAATTGAATATTTTAAGTACAGTTTTGTTACTAAGTACTATTTCACAACTACAAAAATACGATCACGAAAAAGCTTAGGTTATAGTTGTAGTAATTGCACTACTTTTCATTCTCAGGACCCCTCTAAGGAGAGTGTCACACACATAGAAATGCGGAGGTCAGGAGCTGCCGCACGTGCTGTGCGGCGTGTTTCCATACCCTTACTTAGCTTGTCCATTTTTTCCTGCTTTAGTGGTAAGATGTTATTTTTTCCCTTTCTGACACTTTTACTCATAAAAATTCCCATGTGCAATAAAGGAAGCAATATCACAGCCACGTCATTCATCCCTTAGGCAGGATTTCACTCAGAACACAGACTCGAATGCCAGCTCAATGGTATTTGCATCATTCGCTGTTCATATGATAAAACACGTCTAAGAAAATGGAATGCCTAGGTATTAAACACCTAAATATTTTAATATCATCATCTGCTATCAGAAACTCCATTTGTCCTTCAAGATACGGCATGGTATTTTGTTAATCCTCATATTCTGGAGGGCTTGTTCCAGTTCCTCTTATATTTAGAGAAGTGCCTATGTTTTTGAAGGGAACAAAAAAATAAAGAATTGTGGGTTAAGGAATATAGAGAATAATAATGTGCCAAGTCACTGCTCCTGCTCCTGGCTTTGAGCTGTACAACTGACCTTAATACCCTTTATATCCCCACGGCCTAGACAGTGCGTGTCACTACACAGCAGGTCACCGCTCTGCTTCGTTCGATCGCTCGGGAGCGGAACTTGGTGCTGATGAATGCACAGCTCAGAGTGAAGTTATTTAACTGCTTATATCTTACGTGTGAGGCTTCTTCAGGTAAGGACTCAAAGTCATGCTACATTTTTTTAATCTGGAAAAAAAAAAGAATAAAAAAAAAATCTCATTTGAAAATCCCTTGTTCTATTTGATCCGCCTTCTAAGATGCTCTTTTAGCTTCCCAGGATTTGAAATTCATTCTTTCAAAAAAAAAAAAAAAAAAAAAAAAAAAAAACAGACGCTCTCAGAACTCCTTCCACCAGAACAGAGCTCAGCAGCGGGTTCAGGCACTTGGCTTTCTGAGATCACGCCATAAAGCTGGTGGTTTAACAGCAGGGTAACAGGCTGGTATCCAAGTCAGATTAAATCAACTATATGGCTCTCATGTCCAAATTTCACTGGCGGAACCACCCCAATCATCTTATCTCACCCTCTTTATCTATTTCTTCTAAATACACTGGAGAGGTGTTGTAAAATGCCACCAACTCTTTAGCACAGCGCTCTTTTGCAACGTTACAGCATTAGTTTGTCTCCAACACCCCGGTTTAGAAGTCAGCAGAGACCTGCCTTGAGTGCTGCAACGTACTATGATGTTGCCATAAGAAAGGACAGCGGCCATTTACAAACCTGGACAAAAATGAAATACATTTGCCTTTAGAAACAAGACTTGTGTCCTAAATCTGCAGCAAAATTACCTTTGGAAATACATGTATTACAATTCTGTAACAGTCAGGCATCTGATTAACAACAGGTAGGATGAACATCTCTCACCTCAGGACTATCCCATTTGATTCAGAAACTAAAACTTGAAAGCAGAACAAAGCAGAACACCTTCATCTGCAGAGCTGAGATCAGCCCTCCCATATACACAAAACTCTGCAATAGATGAAATTCCTAAACATTTGCTTCAATAAATAATAGGGTTGTATTTATAACCACAGTCATGCTTTTCCTTTGATCTTTACAGAATTTTTAATGAAATTCCTGAAAACTGAGTGACAAAAACATTACAAAACTGAATTTCAAAGACGGCCCTTTCTCCCAGCTGTCAAAAACACTAACTTATCTTCCATTTGAGATAAATGTTGCTACTTTTTTGCAGGATAAGTAGCTTTACTATGTGTTCACAGTCCTATTACCTTGTCACTTTAATTGCTGAGCTAAAAAAAAAAAATCACATTAATCTCATACTTTCTTGGGAAAAAAAAGGAAGAAAAGGTGGGCACTTGGTAGCAAACATGCAGGGTGTTATAAAACCTATGCTGTATTTGCAGGTTCCTGCCCCTCAACTAAAGTCAATAACAAATACATAGGTTTGTTCATAAATATATGCATTTAATCGTGGAATTTTAGAAATAATGACTAAAGAGATGTCTTGATTTTCGACGTTTATTAATTTAATAACTAATGTCCATTATTCATATGCAAATACATGTGATTTTAGTCCAACATGCAGATGGCCACGAGGCAGCTGTTCAGAAAGATGAGCTTGTGGCATAAGCCCCTTTGACCTGCTGGCGTTAAACCCTTTGTTGCCCCAGCACATTTCCGTTGAGAAGAGGCAGCAACCTTGAAATGGTTCATTGTGGTTAAACTGGTCAGCACTTGGCCAACTTTCCCTTTCAGATTTTATCACATATGAGAAAAGCCTTTGATGCAGCCTGCTGCTTTTGACACACGTAAATGTGAACGTGTGTGTTTGGTTCTTCAGGGATTCTTCTTCTTGCTCTTCTGTTCTGCTTGAAGCTCTTTTGCATTACATCTGGAGCTCAATGCTGTTAACATTTCTACAGCTGTCAGGTGGGCTCCTTTCATTATCAATCGGTCTCCATCAGCTGTAAAAGGAACAAGTTTTAAGAATTCATAAACTGTAAGTCACAACTGCTTTAGAGGACAGTTCTCTCTTGCATGTAGAAATAGGAACACCCTGTTCATCTTGTCTCACGAAAAAAGTATTTCATTTCCCAAAGAACCTGGTTATACAAGGACACTTTAAAAACAAATAACAAATTGCACACAATACATACAAAATTTTATTTCTGGATTGTACCATTCAAAAACCAAAAATGTTTCTCTAGATATACATACAAGGGGAAACATATTTGATCTGAATGGCTCACTCTATGCTCTCAAAGTCACCTCACAGAAGGCATAGAAGCAAAGAAGGGACTAGAAGT